ATTTATTGGCCATTTGTAGTACTTAATGTGAGAAGTATCTATTCGTTTTATAAGCATTTCTTGATTAAGTCCTTCAATTTGGAGAGTCTAATTTCTTTTAGATCTTTACAAATTCAAGATACTGGTGGCTTATATGAGGAGTAGCTGACAATAACTTTTTCTAATGACATAGGTTGTCTGCTCACTCTGTTGAGTGTTTGCTTTACCATGCTGGGTTTTTTAAAATTGATTTGATTCCATTTGTTATTTCCTGTTAATATTTCTTGGGCAGCTGGTGTTGTTCCAAGAGTCACTGTCTGTGCATATGTCTTCCAGAGTTTTACCTAATTTGCAGGGCAGTAGATTGTTTTTCCCTTTCAATATTTAGGTTTTTCATTATTTTTGATTTATGTTAGTGTATGGTAAGAGATATGATTCCAGGTATAACCTCTGACATTTGGATCAGCAGTTGTAGCAAAACCACTTGTTAAAGAGGTTTTGTACATTTACTCCAGCAAAGTTATTTGATCCCCTTATCAAGAAAACATAGATGGGTTGCCACAAATTATTTCTGTATCCCCCCATTCTATCCTGTTGATGTGCAAGTCTGGTTTTGTTTTGTTTTCATTTGCTTTTGCCAATATAATTTTGTTTTTATCAGTTTAGCTCTGTAGTATAACTTGAAGTCTAGGATTGTGATGCCCTCTGCCTTGCTCTTGTTACCCAAAGTTGTTTTAGTCTTTAAGATCTCTTGTGATCCCATATGAATTTTTGAGTTGCTTCCTCTTGTTCCTTGAGGAATGCTCTTCATATTTTAATTGAGATTGCCTTTAATCTGTATAACAGTTTTGAACCCTTTTGACTATATCCGTTCTGCCTATATAGGAACAGGGAACTTCTTTGCATTTTCTGATATCTTTCTTAATTACTTTTTCAGACTAAGGTAATTTTCCCTGTAAAATCTTTCTTTTCCTTGGTTAGATTAATTCTCTAAGGACTTAAGTTTTATAATGCTATTGTGAAAGTTCTGTTTGCCTAAATTCTTCCTCGGTCAGATCGTTATTGGTGTACAAGAACGGCATTGATTTTTGTGTGTTGACATTGTAACTTGTTGTATTTGATGATTAATTGTAGGAATCATTTAGTGTAGTGATTTGGTCTTGTAGGAATCATTTAGTGTAGTGATTTGGTCTTGCAGGGAGAGTATCATTTCATTGCAATTACAAATAATTTAGCTTGTTTCTTTCTATACAGATCTCATCCATTTCTTTCCCCTGCCTGATTGTTCTGGCTAATGTTTTGAGACTTATACTGAACAAGAGTAATTATAGTAGATGTCCTTGTTTTCTTTCCTGAATTCAGTAATAAGACAGCTTCCTCCAATTTATTATCATGTTAGCCATGGGTGTGACATAGATGGCTTCAATCAGATGGGGATAAGTTTCTTCTATGACTGTTTTCTTCAGGGCCTTTATCATGAATGGATGTTGGATTTTGCCCAATGATTTTTTTCTGTCTGTCGATATGATCATGCAGTTTTTATCCTTGCATCTGCTTATGTGATGTGTTACATATATTGAATCACACATGATGAACGACCTCTGCATCCTGAAATGAATCCTACTTGTTTCCTATGTATGCATTTTTTAATGATGTCCGGCTTGCTGTTTGCCAGGACCTCATTGAGGACTCTAGCATCTGTGTACCTTAAAAATTTTGACCTGTATCTCCTTATTTTGGTTGTGTCCATTTCTTATTTTGGAATCAGGGCAATACTGGCTTCCAGGAATTACTTTGGGTGTACTGTTACCCTTTCCATTTCACAAAACATTTTGAGGAATACTGGCACTGGATCATGAAAAATGCTCTGGTAGATTTTAGCAATGAGTCCATTGGGGCTGGGCTCTTTTCAGTTGTTAATTGTTATTATTATTTCTTCAATTTGATGGAGACATGCTGGACTACTCAAATGTTTATGTCATGATCACCTGGTCGAGTGGAGCACTGTAGACCAGACAAAATGTTTATATGGTCTTTCCTTAGTTTTAGTTGTACATATTGTGTGAGAATTCTCGCATTTCTTCTAAATTATCCATTTAATTAGAGTAAGGATTCTTAAAGCAGTTACCAAGGATCACTGGAATTTTGGCAGAATCTGTTGTGATTTAGCCTTTTTCATATCTGATTGCATGTACTTGAGTTTTTATTTCCTTTTTTCATTAGATTAGCTAGGGTTTTGTCATATTTGTTTATCATTTCAAAGAACCAGCCCTTCAGTTTATTGATTCCTTGGACTCTTTAGACTCAATTTCATAATTCCTGCTTTGATTTTTGTAACTTCCTTCTTCATAATAGCTTTGGATTTGGATTGTTCTCATTTTTCTAGCACCTTGATGTGTACATTAAGGGTTTTGTTTGTTTTGATCTTGCTCTGTTTTTCTGACATGGGCATTAATTACTATACATTTTCCTCTTTGGACTACTTGCATTGTGTCCCATATGTTCGGGTGAGTTGAAGTGACATTGCCAATTGATTGTAGATCTCTAGTGTTCCACCCAGCAATGGAATATACATTCCTATGTGTACCTTGTGAGTGTGATATATTTTGGAGCAAGTTCCATGTGCTGTAGAGCAGAATGTGGGTACTGTCGTTGAGTAGCTGTAGGTATCTATCAAGCCCATTCATTCAAAGGTGTGGTAGAACTCTGACATTTCTTTGTTAATATTCTTTCCAGTAGATTGAGCCCTTTGTGACAGTGGAGTATCCTCACAATTGGGTAAATAAGTCCCTCACTTAGTCACACTCCACTTTTTTGTTTCACCTTTTCTTCATGTTTTCTTGAGGCTCTTAATGTGTCTTTGAGTACTTTTCCATTGAGAGCATCCCTATATTCTCATTCTGAATTTCTGTCCTCGCATTGGTTGCTTTGTTGCCCATAGTTTTGATACAATTGTTAATCTCTTACATGCTTATTATACTTTCATGGACTCCACTTTTTGATCAACTGTGCATCCATGTTTTTCATTGTTTCCATTAACTCAACTACCTTTTTATTATTGTGTTCTGAAAGCTTCTTGACCTTTCTCCTTCTGGGTATTTCCCAGAAGAAGTGAAAACATCATGC